AAAATTTAGCTGCTGAACACTTAACAAGTCTTTACTGAGCATGCCTGAACTTAAATTTTCAGATGCTCACAATTTGCCCCAAAGAGGGTGTATTTTCAGAATGCAAAAGGCACATCCCTGACACCAGAGGCATTTCCTACCATCAACAACCCACTGAACTTCTAGTCCCTGCTTCAACATATGGAGATGCTAGAGCTTCTCAATGAAACAGTTATAGAATTTTTTTTTAATGTGGGCAAATATATATTTTTCCTTATAATTGTTTGGAGAAACTGTTATTTGCTGAAACTTTCCAGGAAAAGTCAGTGTGAGGCAGACACTCAGAATGGAAAACTTCAGGTCGAATGGTTAAAGTTTACAAAGTTATAGGCAACTGAAAACAGGGTCAGGTTCTGAGACGTATCTCTGCATGCATCACCTAGATTAGAAGAGAATATGAACTGCTCTAACATGAGCTTTCTGAAGCTGGCACCAAAGTAGCTGCACCATGCAGCGTTCTAAAAATCCACAATACAGAGCCAGCATGAGGATTTAATACTGCAGAGCCCGAAGTGCATGCATGAACTAACTTTAATTTCTAAATCTTGCTGAGAAACCCCTCTATACCCAAAAAACTAGCACTGGGTACCAATTCTTGTGAAGATCAAATAAACATGAAGTCTCTAGGTCTTAGGAACTGAGGCAAGCCAAAAAAATTCAGAAAATATTAAATTAATTAAACCTAATACTGGTATTCTCCTTATGGCTTCACATTTTCAAAAGGAAAAAAATCTATCGCTGTATAAGATTGAGTGTGTGAAATTTCAAGCAGATAAGTTTATTTTTGGCAAACATAAATAGGGAGGTAGGAGAGAGGTTTATTGACTAGCTAGGTTCTGTATAACATAGCTTGGAGGTTGCCTGGCTGTATCATTCATAGTTATACAGCTTTGTCAGTGGATTTTACTGGTATTTCAGTGATCTTTTCATATAATAGAGCAACATTGTCATGCTTCTCTGCTCCTAAATAAACATTGTCCTGCCCAGTTTTCACTGGCCTATGGCTCAAAGCTTCCAGCTGACTTACAAGTAAGGCGCCAGACAACTTATTCATTCTCTTTTCTATTGTATAAAAAAAAAAGCCAATAGTCATCTGCTCATATGCACTGCAATATCATGGCACTACATTAATCTCTAATTCCAATGGCTTCAGAATCTGTCCCTTAGTATCTTGTGAGATGTATTTAGTTTTGTCTTGATTTGGGGATGACCATTCCATTGCTACTGCTTGCTACAGGGCATAGTTCTTAGTCTCCCTGCCAATGCAGGAGCTAGTAACTAACTGGAGGACAGATATAAGAAGATCCTCCGGGTGGAAGCTGAAACTAGGAAAAAAATCAAACTAGAAATAAGGTGCAATATTTTTAACAGTGAAGGTAACTAACCATTGGAGCAACATAGCAAGGGTTGTGGTATATTCTCTATCACTGTGATTTTTGTAATTAAAATTGGATGTTTTAACAGATATGCCCTAGTTCAACCAGTTATTGGACTTGAAGTGGAAATTAATTCCTGGCCTGTGTTATACAGGAGGTCAGACTAGATGATCACAATGGTCCCATCTGTCTTTAAAATATATGTATCTATAACCTAACTGTCTTTTTTTCCCAGTCTCTTAGTTCTGTGATAATTAGACTTCCCAGCAGCAGGAAGTGTCTGTGAATACTATGAATTATAACCCCGTGAAACAGACACTTCCTGAGGACAAACAGGTTACAGAGAAACATGTGAGAATGTCTGTCAGCCCCCAGTAAGTTTAGCTGAAACTATACATTGATACTAAATGTATACAATGCTGATTTCTAGTTTTAGAGCCAAATTCTGTCCTTGGATGCATGCAAGTTCCATCGACTTCATCTGGTCCTTAGGCCGTGGTGAGGATAAATTTCTTGTTTTTATTACAGCAGTGCCCAGAGGCCCCACCAAGATCAGGACCCCATTTCACTACTTATACAAATGCATAGTAAGAGATGGTCCCTGCCATGAAAAGCCTACAATCTAAACATACAACACAAAGGATGGGATGGAAACAGGTGCAAAGAAGTGATAGGATTTTACCCAAGGTTGCAGAAGTGGGAATAAAATACAAATTTCCTGACACTCCAGTGCTTTTCCCACTAGACCAGTGGTGGGCAACCTGCAGCCCGCGTGCTGCCCATCAGGGTAATCTGATTGTGGACCACAAGACATTTTGCTGACGTTGACCGTCTGCAGGCATGGCCCCCCGCAGCTCCCAGTGACTGCGGATCGCCATTCCCAGCCAATCAGAGCTGCGGGAAGCGGCAGCCAGGACGTCCCTGCAGCCTGCCACTTCCCGCAGCTCCCATTGGCTGAGAACGGTGACCTGCTGCCACTGGGAGCTGCGGTCGGTGTTGTGGTCTGCAATCAGATTACCCTGATGGGCCGTGTCAGGGTTCCTTCCCCACTCTGAACTCTGGGGTACAGATGTGGGGACATGCATGAAAGACCCCCTAAGCTTATTTCTCCAGCTTAGGTTAAAAACTTCCCCAAGGCACAAATTCCCTCTTTGCCTTAGTATCGCTGCCACCACCAAGTGATTAAAACAAACCTTCAGGGAGGGCCACTTGGAGCCCTACATTTCCCAAATATCATCACCAATTGGTACAGGTGAACACAGACCCAAACCCTTGGATCTTAAGAACAATGAAAAATCAATCAGGTTCTTAAAAGAAGAATTTTAATTAAAGAAAAGGTAAAAGAATCTCCTCTGTAAAATCAGGATGGTAAGTACTTTACAGAATAACAAAAGACTCAAAAA